GTTGTTGTTGGAGTTGTTGTGGGTGTGGTTTTTGTTGGAGTTGTTCTTGGAGTTGTTGTTGGAGTAGTTGTGGGTGTGGTTGTTGTTGGAGTCGTGTTGTTGGAGTAGTTGTGGGTGGAGTTGTTGTGACAGTAGTGGTTGTTGTTGGAGTAGCTGTTGTGATTGAGTCGTTGTGGGTGTTCTTGTTGGAGTAGATGTTGTTGTTGGAGTCGTTGTAGGTCTGGTTGTTTTAACACTAGTGGCTGTTGTTGGAGTAGTTGTTATTCTTTGAGTAGGTGTGGTTGTTGTTGGAGCAGCTGATGTTGTTGCAGTCGTTGCAAGTTTGGTTGTTGTACCACTTGTGGTTGTTGTTGGAGTAGTAGTTGTTGTTTGAGTAGGTGTGGTTGTTGTTGTTGGAGCAGCTGTTGTTGTTGGAGTAGTTGTGGGTGTTGTTGTTGTTGACACAGTTGTCATTGTCGCTCGAGGTGCTGTTGTTGTTGAAGTTGTTGTGGGTGGAGTTGTTGTAGCAATTGTGGTTGTGGTTGGAGTAGCTGTTGTGTTTGAATAGTTGTGGGTGTTCTTGTTGAAGCAGCTGCTGCTGTTGACACAGTTGTGGTCGATGTTGTAGTAGCTGTTGTTGTGACGGCCCGTGTACGGTGGCTGTGCAGGCGGACCCGAACGAAAAGTGGAGACAGGAGAAACAGGTTATAAAGAAAAGGTTTTATTAATAAGGATGAGGGAGGGGAGGTCACCAGGAGCAGGAACCAGATGCAGGAGTGTCGGTTGAAGGGGGGTGCAGTTGGAGGTTTGTCCGTGCTGGGATCCGAGGAGGGGGAAGTGCCGCCGAGGTAGTGCTGGAGAGGGAGGCGTGGAGGAATCCGAGGACGGTGCGCGCAGGGACGGTGCTCAAGGTGCTTCTTCCCGGTGGAGGTTTTCCCAGTGCAGGTGCTCGTGGAAGGAAAACTTCTCGTGAGGGTGCTCGTTGCAGTGGGCTCTGTGGTGAAGCTTGAGAGGGTTACGGCTGGTTTGGCTCGTGAAACGCTGGAGGCTGGAGTCGAAGAGGGAACGCTGGAGGCAAACAAAAACACACGGATTACTCAAGACTCGAATATACATAAACTTCGTTATAATGCTTCGCGGAGGAGAGCAACTAAGTGGCCTGGCTGTGCCATGAGGATGATTCACAATCATCTGGCGCTGGAGATCTGTGAGAAGCTTGTATTTCAGGTGCTCCGCTGATGAGCTGATGAGTTGCACCTGCCAGCGCGAGAAAGTCCTCTCCCCTTCGGCTCCGCCCAGCCTGCCGAGAAAACACACGCCCACCAAGACACAAGCACAGGAGGCAGAGAAAAAACCACAAAACACAAAATATATTCCATAGCCCTCACAGTTGTTATGGTTGGAGAAGCTGTGGGTGTGGTTGTTGTTGGAGTAGTTGTAGGTGTGGCTGTTGACACAGGTGTGGTTGTTGTTGTGGTAGCTGTTGCTGTGTTTGGAAAAGTTGTTGGCTTAGTTGTTCTTGTGGTCGCAGCTGTTGTTGTTGCAGTCATTGTAGGTCTGGTTGTTTTCACACTTGTGGTTGTTGTTGGAGTAGTTGTTGTTGTTTGAGTAGGTGTGGTTGTTGTTGTCGGAGCAGCTGTTGTTGTTGAAGCAGTTGTGGTTGATGTTGGAGTAGCTGTTGTTGTTGGAGTAGTTGTGAGTGTGGTTTCTGAAAAGGTTGTGGTTGTTGTTAGAGAAGCTGCTGTTGTTGGAGTAGTTGTGGGTGTTGTTGTTGGACCAGCTGCTGCTGTTGAAGTAGTTGCGGGTGTTGTTGGAGGAGCTGTTGTTGTGGTTGGAGAAGTTGTGGGTGTGGTTGTTGTTGGAGTAGTCGTGGATGTTGTTGTTGAAGTAGATGTTGTTGTCGGAGTCGTTGTGTGTGTTATTTTTGTTGAAGCAATTGTGGTTGTTGTTGGAGAACTTTTGGGTCTGGTTTTTGAAACAGTCGTGGTTGTTGTTAGAGTAGTTGTGGGTGTTGTTGTTGACACAGTTGTGGTTGGCGCTAGAGGTGCTCTTGTTGTTGACGTTGTTGTGGGTGGAGTTGTTGTAACAGTCCTGGTTGCTGTTGGAACAGCGGTTGTGATTGAGTAGTTGTGGGTGTTCTTGTTGAAGCATCTACTGTTGTTGGAGTAGTTGCGGTTGCCATTGGAGTAACTGTTGTTGTGGTTGGAGACGTTGTGGGTATTGTTGTTGTTGAAGTAGTTGTAGGTCTGGTTGTTGTAACAGTTGTGGTTCCTGTTGGAGTAGCTGTTGTTGTTTGAATAGGTGTGGTTGTTGTTGTTGGAGCAGCTGTTGTTGTTGCAGCCATTGTAGGTCTGGTTGTTTTAACAGTTGTAGTTGTTGTTGGAGTAGTTGTTGTTGTTTGAGTAGTTGTGGGTGTTGTTATTGGAGCAGCTGTTGTTGTTGGAGTAGTTTCGGTTGTTATTGGAGGAGCTGTTGTTGTGGTTGGAGTCGTCGTGGATGTTGTTGTTGAAGCAGTTGTGGTTGTTGTTGGAGCAGCTGTTGTTGGAGTTGTTGTGGGTGTGGTTGTTGTTGGAGTAGATGTAGTTATTGCAGTTGTTGTGGGTCTTGTTTGTGTTGGAGACGTTGTGGGTGTTGTTGTTCGAGTAGTTGTGGGTGTTGTTGTTGACACAGTTGTGGTTGTTGTTGAAGTCTCTGTTGTTGTGTTTGGAATAGTTGTTGGTTTTGTTGTTGTTGGAGTAGTAGTTGTAGGTCTGGTTGTTGTAACATTTGTAGTTCCTGTTGGACTAGTTGTTGTTGTTTGAGTAATTGTGGGTGTTGTTACTGGAGCAGGTGCTGTTGTTGGAGTAGTTTCAGTTGTTGTTGGAGGAGCTTTTGTTGTGGTTGGAGAAGTTGTGGGTGTGGTGGTTGTTGGAGTAGTCGTGGATGTTGTTGTTGAAGCAGTTGTGGTTGTTGTTGGAGCAGCTGTTGTTGTTGGAGTAGTTGTGGGTGTTGTTGACACAGTTGTAGTTGGTGTTGGAGAAGTTGCGGGTGTTGTTGTTGGAGTAGTTGTGGGTGTTGTTGTTGACACAGTTGTGGTTGTCGGTGGAGGTGCTGTTGTTGTTGAAGTTGTTGTAGGTGGAATTGTTGTAACAGTTGTGGTTGTTGTTGGAGTAGCTGTTGTGATTGAGTAGTTGTGGGTGTTCTTGTTGAAGCAGCTGCTGCTGTTGGAGTAGTTGCGGTTGTTGTTGGAGTAGCTGTTGTTGTGGTTGGAGACGTTGTGGGTGTGGTTGTTGTGGAGTAGTTGTAGGTGTGGCTGTTGACACAGTTGTGGTCGATGTTGTAGTAGCTGTTGTTGTGTTTGGCAAAGTTGTTGGTTTGGTTATTGTTGCAGTCGTTGTAGGTCTGGTCGTTGTAACACTTGTGGTTGTTGTTGGAGTAGTTGTTGTTGTTTGAGTAGGTGTGGCTGTTGTTGTTGGAGCAGCTGTTGTTGTTGGAGACATTGTGGATGGTTTTGTTGAAGTAGTTATGGTTGTTGTGGGAGTAGCTGTTGTTGTTGATGGAGTAGTTGTGGGTGTGGTTGCTGAAGAGGTTGTGGTTGTTGTTGGAGGAGCTGTTGTTGTTGGAGTAGATGGAGGAGCTGTTGTTGTTGGAGTAGTTGTGGGTGCTGTTGTTGACCCCGTTGTGGTTGTTGTTAGAGTAGCTGCTGTTGTTGGAGTAGGTGTGGGTGTTGTTCACACAGTTGTGGTTGGTGTTGTAGAAGTCGTGGGTTTTGTCGTTGGAGCAGTTGCGGTTGTTTTTGGAGCAGACGTTGTTGTTGGAGAAGTTGTGGGTGTTGTCATTGAAGCAGTTGTGGTTTTTGTTGGAGTAGATGTTGTTGTTCGAGTCGTGTGTGTTATTGTTGTTGAAGCACTTGTGGTTGTTGTTGGAGAGCTTGTGGGTCTGGTTGTTGAAATGGTCGTGGTTGTTGTTGGAGTAGTTTAAGTGTTTTTGTTGAACCAGTTGTTGGTGTTTTTGAAGCAGCTGTAGTTGTTGTTGGAGTAGTTGTGGGAGTTGTTGTTGAAGCAGATGTGATTGTTTTTGGAGTAGTTGTGGATTTGGTTTTTGAAACAGTTGTGGCTGTGGTTGGAGTAGCTGTTGTTGCTGGAGTAATTGCGGATGTTGTTGAAGCAGTTGTGGTTGTTGTTGGAGTAGATGTTATTGGAGAAGTTGTGGGTGTTGTTAACGCAGTTGTGGTTGGTGTTGTAGTAGTTGTGGGTGTTGTTGTTCAAGCAGTTGTGGCTGTTCTTTCAGTAGCTGTTTTTATTGTTGGAGAAGTTGTGGGTGTGGTTGTTGTTGGAGTTGCTGTTGTTGTTGCAGTCATTGTAGGTCTGGTTGTTGCAACACTTGTGGTTGTTGTTGAAGTAGTTGTTGTTGTTTGAGTAGGTGTGGTTGTTGTTGTTGGAGCAGCTGTTGTTGGAGACATTGTGGATGTTGTTGTTTAAGTAGTTATGGTTTTTGTGGGAGTAGCTGTTGTGGCTGGAGACGTGCGTGTGGTTGTTGTTGGAGTAGCTGTTGTTGGCGTAGTTGTGGGTGTGGTTGCTGAAGAGATTGTGGTTGTTGTTGGAGGAGCTGTTGTTGGAGTAGTTGTGAGCGTTGTTGACACCATTGTGGTTGTTGTTAGAGTAGCTGCTTTTGTTGAAGTAGTTGTGGGTGTGGTTGTTTTAACAGTTGTAGTTGTTGTTGGAGTAGTTGTTGTTGATTGAGAAATTGTGGGTGTTGTTGTTGGAGCAGTTGCTGTTGTTGGAGTAGTTGCGGTTGTTGTTGGAGGAGCTGTTTTTGTGGTTGGAGAAGTTGTGGGTGTGGTTGTTGTTGGAGTAGTTGTGGATGTTGTTTTTGTAGCAGTTGTGGATGTTGTTGTTGAAGCAGTTGTGGTTGTTGTTGGAGGAGCTGTTGTTGTTGGAGTAGTCGTGGATGTTGTTGTTGAAGCAGTTGTGGTTGTTGTTGGAGCAGCTGTTGTTGGAGTAGTTTTACGTGTTGTTGACACAGTTGTGGTTGTTGTTAGAGGTGCTGTTGTTGTTGAAGTTGTTGTGGGTGGAGTTGCTGGATTCATATGTGCTGAGAGCAATAAATCATGTTCTTGAAACATCTTACCTTGTAAAAATGCATCATAAACAACTCCATTGCGCTTATAGCACTATATAGCTGTCAACTTCTGGGAACTATTGACACGATTAATGGTCGGCCATTGCTGTGAAAAAAAAAAGGTTTAAAAAAGAAGGACTCCAAACATGGTTACATCCATGGGCTATGTTCCTGTGTGATCTATCAGCAGGACATTTGTAACAACAGCTCTAAGGCAAATCAACACAGTTGTTAGAAATGATATTAGCATGCCTTGATACATATTCTAACATGTCCCAGACCAATATTTATAAACCACAGAGTGTTCAGTGGCTCTTCATTTGTATTGGGTTAAAATTCTTGCTATGAGTCTCTCTCAGGTACTTGTGGGCTTCAGAAATTCTAGTTAAGTGTGCCCATGCATGATCTTTGAAGCACACGTATTACTGTTCCTCAGGCTAATCATAGCATCATATATCAACTGGCAGAAGCTGCTTAAAATTACTTAAAATTTCTTCCAAAATGTTCTAGTTAAGTATGCCAATGAATGAGCTTTGAAGCATGCTTGTTATTACTCTTCA